TGTTTGGTAAGCTGTCTTCTCGGATAAGAGCCAGCTGTACAAGTGATATTAATACAGTGTCTGCAACTGCAACTCCAGTTTAGTTGACAATCTTTTTAAGACCCTTTACAGTAGTATAGAATTCTATACCGGTGTTATTCGATACGAAAGTAGTAGTTGTTATATAGTGTTGGTGCATGAAGTATGTGCCTCCGTTTTTTTTTTGGCCGAACTTGAAGTGGGGGCAAAGCCCCGTTTCATGTTACGTGCTGCTCGATGTTGTACTATTGAATTTTGTGATATATATAAAGTAATCAGTTTTTCGGTCTTCGATGGTTTTTTTATCAATACTTTTTCTGCATTTTATATGAATGATTAAAATTGGATTTATTCTAAATTTATGTAATCCTAAGACACTACATATTATTTGAAAAAATAAAATAATAATTGACTTTAATAACAAAAGTGTGTTGCATAAACAATAGTGATATTTATCAATGCAGAAAGTCTTTGATTGGGTCATCGTGATGAACCCTCTTCATCCTGTAAGCTTCCATATCTTCGGCCGTAACTTCATCGTTCCACTTTACGTTATATTTCCGTTTTCTTTCATCTCTCTCTTGGTTCTTGTTTCGATCCTCCTTCTCGAGCGCTTCAGCCAATTTTTTCTGGTTCAAAACTAAATCATCAGGTACTTGACTTCCCCAAGTCGCAGCTCTTATCATCTCATCGTTATCACTGGCAGTAGTTGCTGCTTGGTTCGATTCTATTTTCCGATGCACATTAGCTTTCGTAACATCTGAAGCAGCCGCTTCAATACCAGCATTGCCAGTACAGTAGGTGTTTCTCAATGTTTGATGGCAACAATTGTAGCCCCATCGACCATCTTTCCACCACGAACCCCATACACTCGTATGATTGTTTACGCACACATCTTCTTCGTACTTGCTCTTCACAATACGAATTATCGCACCCTGTTTTACAACCCTACCCGCCCGATCGTACTCGAGCTCGACCTCCGTTTGTCCCAACAACAATTCCCGTGGAAGAACAGCTTCTCGATCATCAGTATTAGCAGCAGCATTCCCGTATTTCTTCAAGATTGCAGTTTTCGTAGCATTTTGCGACTTCAATTTCTCCTTATTAATCTTGAAATTCCTGTAAAGCAATTCAGCCTGCGAGGGAGCACCCTGCACATCAACAACATGATCAAGCCCCATTTTGTCGAACACTTCGCGGGCGTGAAAATTCAGTTGCTTGAACTCCAAAGCTTGACCGGTGGCCCTGTTGCCATTATCTCCCGCGTAGAATTTCTCGTTCGGATCCATATCCGGCAGCGGATCCTCCCTCATGGATCGGGTTTTCGGGTCGTAATGCGCCGAATTCAAATCCAAATTAAGCAGATATTTAGCAGTGTCCTCTCTAATTCTTAAATTCCTAACAGTCCCTGTACTACCACCGCCGGTGGTGCGCACGCGCTTCTCCACCTTCCCGAAATCCACCTGTTTGCTATCACCTACTTTCAGAGAGTCTTCTTCTTCTTCTCCGCCGCCTTTCTCGTGATCCAATTTCTGAAGGCGCTGATTGTGCAGATACTTACTCCGGGCTTCTCCGCGGGCCTCGTGCATCCTGACGACCTGTTTGTAATCGGCGGCGGGATCGAAATTCTTCCAGGGGTCTCGTTTGGCGGCGTAACTATCGGAGTTGTTTGTGGTATGATCGGAGGAGTTGTTCTTCCAATTTTTCTGGTGCTTGAGAGTGGGTTTGTTTGCGTTCAAATACCACGGCACGGTGGACATGTACAGCGGGATGTGCGGGTTGATTTCTTTCCCATCTTCGTCGAGTTCGGCCGGTTCGATTCCGGCTTTGCGCGCCTCCTCTAATTCCTGCTGTTGCCTCCGAGATCTAAACGACGCCGTAGTTGACATGCTTCGTTGTGAAAAACAAGAGAGAGAGAGAGAGAGAGAGAGAGAGAGAGAGAGAGAGAGAAGAGAGAGAAAGGGCTGAGTTTAGAGAATTATGGTTGATTTCTGTAGAATAGAAGAGCGCGGGTTTATATAATACTCGGAGTCGGCGAATATTAGGAAATTAATTAACCTTTTTCTGTTAGGAAAAGGACAATTTTCAATTTTCTGTAATTCCTCTTAACCCTAATTTTCATTAATAAATTCAGGAATTAAATTAAATACAAAACCCTAGTTTTCAAAAGTAATTCTGAATAATTTCACTTTTTACAAATATATAAAAGTAAAAAACACTAGTGCAGTTGTGAAACCCTAATGATATATTTATCAAGAAATTAAAACTAATTACATCTCTTATTTGTTATGTTTTTTTTTTCTTGACTTTCATTGTTTAGATTTGCATATCGGCTAGCAAAATTCTAATCCACTTGCATGTAGTTTTTTATTAATTTTCTTGATTAAATATATGTGTTTTCTTGGGATTTGTATGATCACATTTATAAGAATATTAACGTTATTTTGGTAATTTAAATTTCACAATTAATTATTTTAATATAGTATAATTTAATTTTTAACACAATTTAATTATCATATATCTATTTTTCTTTTCAACGCTAGCCGTGCATCGGACAGAAAGAATTGCTAGTATATATTAATAAAAAAATACTATGGGGAAGTTTATAAAAAAATTGCCCTTTTGGTCTCATCAGTTATATATTCTTTTTAGGGGGCCTATTTGTTAAACACCCTCTTGAGATTTTATTTCTTGATAAATGCTTAATTTGTAAATGATATTTAACATAAAGCCACTGAGCCTAAAAACCTAATATGCCCCACTAATTAGTATAATTATTTTAAATAAAAAATACGGTGAATTAAAAGCAGAATCCCTTCCCAAAATCGCATTACCTACAAATCTTCCTCATATTTGTCTCCCCGAAATCCTTCCAATATTTCTCCATCTCTCCACAAAACTCACCCTCAACTTTTCCAGTATCTCAAAAATTCATTTCATCTTTTTTCTCTTGATCTTCAAATACTGCATCAATGGCTTCACGTTTACTTTAAAAAACTCTACTATCATTTTCGGACAAAAACTTCTTCTCTTTAGGGCAAACTACATTCATTTATTGATTCAACATCACATAAGCTTTTTCGGTAAAAAATGACGTGTATTAAAGTGGAAATGGCAAAATTCACTTTACACAATAGTGGATTCAATAAAATGGGAAGGTCAAAATCTATGTATTTAATAAGAGAAGGGCAGAAACCGCTCTGCGCGTGAAAACCACTTTGTGCACGAAAACCACTATGTGTACAAAAATCATTCTACTTGCAAAAACCACTCTTACATTTGTTTAAGCATCAACACAACGTGTACAGTGCACCAGACACATACAAATATTATATATATCAACAAAACGTGTATATACACATACAAATTACTGTTCAACGTAAATCAATACAAAACCTCACATATAACTCATCTTAAATTTTCATGTGAGCCGAAAACCACCATGTGAATCTGCACAGCCGCCACTTATTATCCAGTGACACAAACAAATTATTATTTATGTGAGTTACAATTTCGATTCCACATAAATGGAAATGTTCAATCAATAAGCGTTACTGGTGGAATTAATTGAGAAAGTATTCATTAAAATATTTATGTAGAAGATATTATGTATCTTCTCTAATAACAGATATTAAAAACACTTGTATTAATTAGTTAGGGGCATAATAGTGATAATTAAGAATTTTTAATTAACAAAAGCTCTTTTGAATTTAACTTAAAAATGAATTTTTTTTTGGGCCTAATGTAATAACCCTCGTGTAATTGGGGGTTTTGTCAAATTATCCATTCTTTTTAGGGTAAATTACACTCACACCCCTGAGGTATGCTTAAATAACTTTAAAGTCCCTGTGGTATCGATAATTACACTCACCCCCTTGAAATGTAGTTATAAACTCTAATGGGATAATGCATTGGATACATTATTACAATAGAGTTCTAACGGACTATTGGTTTCAGATAGTGGTGGAAACAACAAAGAGTTATGGGTGATTTAAGAAATATTGGGGGAGCCATGTCGCCCCATAACTCCCCATAACTCTATGTTATCTCCACCATTAGCTAAAACTAATAGTCCATTAGAACCGTATCGGAATAATGTTTCCAATGCATTATCCCGTTAGAGTTTCTAACTACGTTTCAGGGGATGAGTGTAATTATAGATACCACGTAGACCTTAAAATTATTTAAGCATACCTCAGGGGTGTGATTGTAATTTACCCTTCTTTTTAATCATTCTCATCAATTATTAATATCTCTATTTTTTCTTTTCGTCTTTACAGTGGTTTCAAAGTTTCCTCTTCCCTTAAACTAATTTGTTAGATGTAATTATGATTTATGTCATCTATATATGTGGGGTAAATCTCACTAAACTTTTGACAATAAATATGCCATAAATCTCGTTAAACAAAAAAAATATTTAATTTTTTTTTTCCAAAAATAAGTTCTAAAATTTTGAAGATTTCAAAATGTCCTTAAAATATTCTAAAATTGTAAATGTCATGGGATTTCCAAAACTCGAAGCTTTGCTAAAATGGGAACGAGTTTGTAGATTCAATTTTTTTTTGGAAATTAGCTGAAAGTTCCTAAAAAATATTCTTTATAGCTATAAAGACAAATAAATTCCGTATTTTTGCTAAAAGTCCCAATGCCATTTTCCGTTATGGATCATACGCTAGATGCGAAATCTCTATAACGAAATTGCTGATGAAAACTAACAGCAACGGTAACAATAATTTGCACAACTTTAGCTAATAAAAATATAAATACTTTGAAAACGGAAACTGAACTATTGAAAATCTGAGCACGTTTTTTCGAAGGACTTTCAACTAATAAAAATATGGGGGTATTCTTGTAAAATGAACACATAACAACAAATAAATGCAGATTTTTTTGCTAATAAAACTCACATCTAAGATAGTTCTAGCAAATTACCCCAAAGGTAAAAAGCCCTAACATTTTATTTATATATATTTTGCTACAATTGCTATCATTTTCGTGAAAGTACAGTCATAGCAGGGCAAGGTACAACAAACTGCAGCAGAAAGCTCAAAAGTGTAGTACTGCTTTATTAAGTCCCCAAATTTCAACTCGGTTGGCAGCTTTCCCTTCACCATCGCCCAAAACGGCGATCACCAATTAATAAAACGGCGCCGTTGCACCCTCCCCCCTCACAAAACCTCTGCAACATATATACTTACAGAATTTTTGTATCTATTTGACTCAGCATTACTTCCATGTCTTCTGTAACCTTCATCACATGGTTAATCGTTTCGCTGTTTTTCTATAGCAACGAAGTTGCGTCGTCTTCGCCTGCGATTTCAGTTTCAGCTCCGATTAGGGTTGGATCTCGTTCGATTCTGCGATCAATCGACAAAAATAAAGAGGAAAAGGAAGATTATGCTGTTGAATTGAACGCCACGAATTTTGATTCTGTGCTTAAGGAAACCCCCGCTGCTCATGCCGTTGTTGAATTCTTTGCCCACTGGTCAGTTTCTTTCAATCTTTTCTGTTGATGTTGAAAAATTGGGTTTTTTTTTTCTTCCTACGAATGTTGTTGCTGCATTTTAATGAATTACCTTATTGGACCAGAATCTTTGAGTTGATGATTAAATGTGCTGAAGTTCATGGCTTTTGCGTTAGGGGACTGTTATTTTGCTATGTAGAAAGAAAGTTTTGATTTTTGTGATGTTACTGTGTATTTACATATTCTTAAGGCTTTTTATTGATTTAGTTGGTTGGGAAATTGTAGTTACTATTTGTCTTGGATGTGAGGAAAATATTTGTACTTTGAGATAAATATGTAACCAGTGTTGAACGGAAGATAAATTTGACAAGTCCTATGTTTGTGTTCCTTTTTTTCTTTCCTAATTGTATCTTCGGATGCAAAATTATTTAGGGTGATGCTGTTTGCTCATTTGTTATGATTTTTCTAATGCTGAAATGTAATTCAGCGGTTGTGGAAATTATGACTAGTTCAGATTTGTATGGCCAAAGGAGTTTCATATTGCTCTTAAAGTGTTGCCAGGTGGTTCCTGTCTAATACATCCTTGGAGAACTGTTGTCTTTCTAGTTTACTCCTCTGAATAACATATTTAAACCTCCTTAAAAGGGCTAAGGTGGCATAATCAGGGGAAAAATACAGAGACGTAAAAGTTAAAACAGCTATGCACTTTTTGCAGAGGCTAATTGATGGAAATAAAAAGAGACAGAAGTTTATTTCACAAGCTACAGAGATGATATTGTTATGGCATGATTTTTTAAGCTTGTCCAATTGCTTTCTACTTGAATGCAAGCATATATAACATATAGCTGCACGATAACCGTAAGAGACATCTTTTTGAGCAAAAATGTAGGCTTTTTTTGTTTTGACTGCTTTTGATTTGATGCCTCTTTTTGAATGAAGTAGTCTTTAATAAGAAACAACAACATAAAGCTGGATGAAAATAATCTAGGTTTCGATGGTTTGTACCAGCATATCTGATCCTCTCCATCCTTGATCTGCATCCATTTTATAATCCACCCTGGTTTAATTTGAACGACCGATTGCCTCCCGAGTTCTATAATTGAGAAAGGATAGTATTCTTTATTACCTAATTTCCCCCCCATATAACTTCATTGTTTACTCTAGAAACATCGTCCTTAAATTCTCTATTCCATCGTAACTCGCAAGTCAATTTTTCTCCAATGTTATTGACAGCCATAATATAAGCAGCCACATTCAGTAAACACATGATACTGACGAACAAAATAAAGAACAAATAAGGGTCTTCTGAATATGGAAGTATATCATCTGTAGGGTGTCAAGCTGTTTGTTCATGTTATTAGTTGTTTGCACATCGGTCTAGTTAACATTTTTAGGTCAATAAGTAAGTGTAGATGCTGCTTCGTTTGACTGAGGATAACATGTGAAAGCTGTTGAGTTTGTACTATGTGGAACTCCAACTGGCGACAAAATAAAAAGCACGATTTTACTTTTTCTTGTGTGTGTGTTGGTTTGTGCCTCTTGAGTTGCTTTATCTAACTTGGTATAATACGTAGTTGTTGTAAAGTTTACCACTGTGAAAGTCTATGTGAAGAAAAAAAAGAGCACCATGATTTGACTTTTCTCAGTGTCAATGCTTGTTTCTTAAGAGTCATGCATCTACTGTTTGGCATGTATATTTGTGTTTGTATATTTGGCTTGTTTATTCATTAAAAATTCTTGAAGCTATCATGTGAATTAAGTTTGTAATTTGCCTTTAATAGATTGCTTACTCTCATTCCCTTTTCAGGTGTCCTGCTTGCAGAAATTACAAGGTATGATTAAAAAAAAAATGTTATTTCACATGCCGATGGTTCTTATTACAAATTTTCAATTTGGGCAGCCACAATATGAGACGATTGCAAAGATTTTCAATGGAGCAGACGCTGTCCATCCAGGGATGATATTGTTGACCAGAGTAGATTGTGCCTTGAAGGTACTAATGTTGTGCTTATAAAAAGAGGAATGCAGCTGTTTATGAAACAGTTTAGGGATAAATGACTGTCTTTTCTATGTTATTGTCTTTGCATATCAGTATTCTCTCCATGTGAACTTTATAGTCTTACTGTTGTTAGCGCAAATCACCGAGAGTTTTAATTAATTTGTATCTAATGTAGAAGACTTATAATATTGTTTTTGACAGTGCTTAGGATTTCGTCTTAGGAAGCCCCATAAGATTGTTGTTTCTTTTTACCACTTCCCTTTCCCTTTTATTGAAGCAAGTTCTAGTGATGACATTTGTAACTGAAAGCCAAAAAAAAGGGAAAAATACAACACTTATATTTTATATATTCATGAAGACTTGTTATTTCTTCGATTCATTTTCTTACACATTCTTTTAACATTTTTTTGGTTTTATGCATTTTAAGTTCACATCACTACTCTTTGTTCATATGGTTCGCAATATATTCAGCTATATTCTCTTGAAGTATGAGCATGAATTGTATTTAAATTCATGTCCAAGTAAATACACACTTGCTCATATATGTTTTTTTTAACTGTTTAATTGTTGTACATTCTGTCGTTTGAACAACCTTTGTCATATTATAGCATCTTGATTGTTTCTTCAAATCACTTGCCTGGCAGCACAGATAAATACTAATCTTTGTGATAAGTTCTCTGTCGGGCACTACCCTACTCTTCTGTGGGGCCCACCTTCTAAGTTTGTGTCTGGGAGTTGGGACCCAAAGCAAGAAAAGAGTGAAATACGCTCTATCGAGGATGCACGAACAGCAGATCTCTTACTAAATTGGATTAATAAGCAAATGAACAGGTACAAGACTTTTCTTTGTATTGACTAGAAGCAAGTGAAATACCCATATTGGAAGTTATGAATCTATTTGCATTGTATAATATCCTCCCAATCCTACTGTCTATTTTTTTTATTGAGATTCACATATGCTTTTCTAACTATAATAACGTAGGGTGCACATTTGAAACTAACAGTGGGTTTAATTTCATCTCTTTGAATATATTGTTTCTTATTTTTAGCTCATATCGCTTGGAAGACCGGAAATATGAGAATGATCTTCAGAAAAATGCTTCAGATATTGGACAGGTCCTTTTGACATGATCTAAATGCTTAAATGAATTGATAAAATATAACATCTGCGTTTTCTGACTTATTGTGATGTGTTTCTGGAGAAAGATTGCACGTGCTGTTTATGACATTGAGGAGGCCACAACCACTGCTTTTGGCATCATCTTAGACCACAAGGTGAATAACATATGTGGTTTAATTCATATTCTGCTAGGTTTGTCCTTTTATGAATTTTATTTAACTCAAGAAATAATCATGTATAGATGATCAAATCAGAGACTAAAGCATCACTTGTAAAATTCTTTCAACTTTTGGTAGTCCATCATCCATCTAGAAGGTGAGCATCTATTTATTGTTTCTCTCTATATTAGATCCTAATGTATTTCTATGTTCCTGACTGTTCTGGATACTGTTTTTTAGATGCCGGAAGGGAACTGCAGAACTACTAGTCGATTTTGACAATCTTTTAGCCAACAAGGAGATTGACAGTGGCGAGAGAGGAGAAATCAGGAATTATCAAATTTGTGGAAAAGATGTTCCTCGTGGATACTGGGTATGTATATCTGTTATTCAACCTCTTTCTTTCCAACTTCCACTTTATCTGATTTAACTTATACTTTTATGATATTTCTGTTGCTCTGTGTGGGTCAAGTTTGTGTACATATCATCATTTGACTAATGTATTCACATGTTAGCTCATTAGTTCATTACAATTTGCATATATGCTCACTGTATTGGACCTTATGCTTGTATAATCGACATCTCTTAAAATTCAATAGTTCATAAACATTGATCAGAAAATTCAGTTTTGGCCCTATGGTGTTTTCAGTGGAATATATAATCGACATCTCTTAAAAAGTAATAGTTCATAAGCATTGATCAGAAAATTCTATTTTGGCCCTATGATATTTTCAGTGGAATACATAAGAGGAGATTTAAATCCTAGTTTAAAATGCATGATCACTTAAAATTGCATAGATTTTACGGTTATCTATAAAAATTTGACTCTTTTTATCAAAGTTAAATTTGTATGGCTAATGTACTCTGGTATCATTCTACCCTTGAAAAGACTATTTCACTCATAAACATTTTCGAACCTGAGTTAATTTTTGTAATGTGTCGGTATTGCTGCTAGGTAGCGTTCTCACGTGAAGTGCCTCTAGTTTAATTATATCTTAATTTGAGAAAAATAACTTTGGTTATTTAGAAGTCAGAAGTCAATTTATGGAACTATCAGATAATCAGAAAGTTTATTAAAATGATTTCCTGCATGGGTCAGTGCGGTGGAGCTGAACTTATCAATTTAGGTTCCAATATTGAGCAGTGTAAGTGCAGCGTTTTCAATACTAAACAAGAAGTCAAATTGACTGAGCTCCCTCAAGAAACGGCATGAATTTTGCTTTTCCCGAGCTTACTATACTGGCTTAACTAGTCCACAACATACGACCTAGTGAAACGTTTATGCAGGATTTGACCTAATGCATTAGGATTTTATCCCTTTATAGTTATTGAAAGAAAAAGCATAAAAACTTGAACGACTGTGCAACTTAATATTCAGAGATCCCGCATGCAAACTTCTCACTGGCCAGCCTTAATCCTTGCACCATTTGATGCTTATTATCATGGTTCCCCACACAATGTCAATTTGATCAACTCTTTTAGGTGAATCCTTGTGTCCATATTTTAATAATATTATCAGCTAGTGATTTTACCAATCTGGCAATGAATTTTCTTTTGCAGATGTTTTGTCGGGGAAGCAAGAATGAGACTAGAGGTTTTAGGTAAGATTCATTTATTTTGTATTCCTCAAATATTGTAACATTGTTGAAAAAGTCCTGGGTGAACATCTTGTGAATGCGTGTAAATTAAACCTGTAAAAACCACCTTTACATCATTGAATGCATTGCACACTGAGACTTTGGTCGTAACTGACGCTTCGGTCTCTTTTTGCAGTTGTGGTCTGTGGGTTTTATTGCACTCACTCTCTGTAAGAGTTGACGACGGAGAAAGCCAGCTGGCATTCACAACAATTTGCGATTTCATTCATAATTTCTTCATATGCGAGGAGTGCCGCCAGCATTTTTACACCATGTGCTCAAGGTAAGTTCCACCACCATCCTCACCTTACACTAGTAGTATATCCATTAAAAAAATACGACATCCATCTAAGTATACAAGTATCAAAACTCGCAGCGTTTCAACCCCTTTCAACAAATCCCGTGACTTTGTCCTTTGGCTATGGCAAGCACACAACAAAGTCAACGAGAGGCTAATGAAGGTAGAGGCATCCCTCGAAACCGACGACCCTCTGTTCCCCAAAATCACGTGGCCCCCACAACAGCTCTGCCCTTCTTGCTATGGAACTGTGAGAGTCGACGAGAGCCGTCCGATCGAATGGGATCTTGATGAGGTCCACAAGTTCTTGATGAACTATTACGGGAAGGCGCTCGTAAACCTAAACAAGGATAAGGAATTTACAGTGGAGAGGCTCGTAAACCTAAATGATGACGCGGCATCTTCAGCGTCGGTGAACGCACTTGTGGTCCCTGTTGGAGCTGCGCTGGCGATAGCAGTTGCCAGCTGTGCGTTCGGAGCGCTGGCTTGCTACTGGCGGCAGCATCAGAAGAGCCGGAAGTATAAACACCATCTACACTCTTTTAAGAATATATGACTAATATTATTATTATTATTTATATAGAGTAATAGCTTCTTCTCATTAGGTATTAAGAGATGATAAATCGATAGAAAAAAAAATGGAAAAATTAGATGATGGAGATGTGATAATTAAAGGGAGTTTGTCATTTTGATTAATCTACACAAATGTTTTCAGGCCGAGGAGAAGCTGGAACTGATATTTAAGCTCTCGGTCGGTCTATACACACCAACAGTGAATAAAAAAGTTTATACACATGTGGCTTCTCACTTTCTCAGGCCTTCCTTCTTCTTCTATCACAACCAGATGAAAGAAAGCCTTCTTCCATCAAGGCAGTTTTTTTATATCTTTTTTTTTTTTTTTTTTTTTCTCAGGTTTGCTTCCTAATTGGGAGTGTATAGATTTTGCATTTGAATTGTAAGATTGAAAGATTTTTGTATTTTTTAATTTAGATTTTCCTTTTTCTTTTTTCTGGGACTTGTTCTTTTTTTCCATTGTAATTTGATGCATTACTTATTTTACATGGTGAAATCTGAAATCTTTTAATGACCTGCTTTAACTGTAAACAGTGTCTGTAAGGATTCATTTGGGATTGTGGATTAGCTATGATATATATTACCGGGAAAATTACGGCCACCCTCTTGCACAAATTACGAAAAAGTTCATGTTTGGATGATTTCAGCATCCCGTCAACTATGTATTGTCTAATGAAAAAACCCTTTTGAAATAAATGCAGATCACTAGAAAAAATACACTTGAGATAAAAATTTTGAAAAGTAAAATGATATTGTTTTTGAAAAGAATATCAAATATGAATTAATTTCCGGGGAACCGTGGGAATAAAATGAAAATGCTACCAAATATTGCCTAGTTATTTTAAAAGAATGATGAAATCTAGTTGCATATGTTTTTTTTCTTTTGTGTGTTGAGGAACCTAAAAATATGTTTTTTAGTTGTAAATGGAAATTAATGTTTTAGGCCATATTGTTAGTTGAGAAAAGAAAACACCAAAAGGCCAAAAGAAATATTGAAATATCGAACTTGACAAGCATCGTTTTTCCGGCCAATTTGAATTCTATTATTACAAAAAGAAAATAGAAACGGAAAAGGAGAAAAGGAAAAAAGAAAAAAAAAAAAAAAGGGTAAATTTCACTTTCATCTTGTACTATGGCTAGATATCACTTTATTCCATTCTACTTTTGATTGCCTCGATTTGTCCCCTGCACATGAAATATTATCTCAATATGGTGACCCCGAGTGCGGTTCTC